ACAGTATAAATTCATATCTCAAACATTCAAATCTTAAAAGCAAACGAGGTACTTTATATAAGCTCTAGAACAGAAGTTCTTGCTGCCGGGGTTTTCTACAATTTCTTGTTTTCATGCATTTGAAAAAAATAAGGAGGGTTTGCTTCTGTTGCCCTCTGAAATATGACCAGAACTAAATCCACTATTTGAAGCAATTAAACTACAGAGATCTAAATCTCCTATGGAAGCCACTCATATGATTCCATTACACTAAAAATACAAAGCAGTGTAAGTCCATTTCTCCCCTCCAAAAGTAATAACGTGTGTCACTCCATTATGTCACTGTACCTATGCAAGTATTTAAGCTTTGTAGAGTCTCGGCTATGTGTTATTTTTGGATAACTTTAGTTTAAAGAAGTAATATTCACCCCACATTCACCCACTTCCATGAGTTTCAGGGCTTTAGTAAAACACATTTATTGACTAATTCCTAATAGGAAACACAGTGAGTAGGTGTTACAGTGTTAGTCATCAGAAACTGTCACTCAATGCATGTGCACAAGCAAAATCCACTTGACATTTTTGAAGGGAAAAAAAATAAAGGCACATTATACGGAAGGAATGTATGTCCTTGAACTCTGTAACAACAAAAACAGGAGCCGTAGAAATGTTTCCTAACATTTTAATAATCTCTTAATGCCGCTCTTTCTCAGGACTCTCAGATATAAGGTAGCTCTAACTTAGGGCTGTTTTCAGGCATTTGACATATAATCTGATGGCTAAAGAGTTTTTTTTTTTTAAATCATTTTCCAAAAGATACTTAGAGGACTGAAGCTTCCTTATAATATTTCCAACACAGTACCACCTCTGTTTACCAAACCCTCTTAAAACAAAATATAGAGAGGAAAATATTGTCTGTTATAGTTTTCACTCAAGAACATTTTTCATACTCATTTGAGCACGGATTTATTTGTGCACTGGAAAATACATGTCCACCTTTTATTGCCAATAAAATAACTTTCTGTGTTTTGCAAAATAAAACCCAGGGTCTCCGAGGCATTGTATAAAACTTATGCTCCTGTGCCCTATTTGACTTCCCTGCTCCCAGCATATTTACCTCCCAGAAATAATAGCTCATTTTAACCGCAGCAACACTTCATATGACCAGGCCACAATGACTTTACCAGTGCACTCACTGACAAGACCTAGAAACTTATCAACCCGCTGTGCTAAGAGGTGAGTGGCTCACTCAAGCCTGGCTCCTGGGGGGAGAAACAACAACCGTTTACCTAGGCAGCCATAAAGCTATAAACCGATGGGCATGGTGACAATTAAATCATGACACTATCACTTTCAATGACTGTTTCAAATATCACAGTTACAAAAATACTCCTTATTTGGACTACCTGTGCAACACAGAGCTCTAGCAACTCAAGACATTCTCCTGTTTTCTTTTTTGCTGTAGTATCCTGTTCCTTGGCCTAGCAGGCTTCTTTCATGAGGGGGTGCCCTGATACAAAGATGAGGCGGTTGCTCTGGAAGTGTTCCTTAAATTATAACCTAAAATGGAGCACAGGTTGTTGTTGAGCAAAAGCACCACGCATGATCAGTCTACTGGCTACAGGCTTGTATTCTCTCTCACCCAACTGAGAAAATAAATATTTTGAATTATTACTGACAATCGCTAGAGATCCTGGCCAACAGATTTAAATGAAGAATACATTCAGAATGTCTGCTTACGGTCAGTACCAGCTTTTGTAATGATGGCTGTGAAGTTTTAAAATGTGTTCATAGGTATAGACTTTCCAAGAAAGTTACTTCCTATGAGCAAAGCTTTTAGAAAGCCAGTCATCACGAGCAAGAATGTCAGCCCTAAAGGAAGGGCTTCTCTTCACCCTGCAAAGGGTTAAGTGCCTGCAAGGCCAAAGGCACCAGACCGCAAAAGAAATGTTGCTTTAGTAAGCTCTGAAAGGTTTCTAACAAGTACCAAATACTTGTTGATCTGTGCACAATAAACACCAGCAGGATTGTCAGGCTCCTTTCACTGTCTGGGGAGATGCATTTACATACTGTACCCAGTGAGAACAGCTTGTTGGTCTTCTATAAAAGTTGAGTAGCTAGAAGCCTCATTCAGTGCCTCCCATCCAAATGACTGAAAGAAGATGCAATTGAAATAGTGAAGTCTGGCCTGGGCAGCACAAATACTGTACATAAAACACTTGGAGTAGTTCAGGCAAACCCACCTGAATGGAGGGAGAACACTGTCTGTTGCCATGGCAGCCTGATCTAATTACAGGAGTGATCAGGGTTGGAGTAAGTGCCCGGAAAACCTACACCACTGACACTATCCGCATGATGAGAAAGACAGGCGGGCAGAAGGTCCAGGGGAACCCTTCAACCTCTGCTTTATGTGGAAGGTGTCATTCAAACCCATTTATTTGCGGAGCTGCGGAAACACTGAGTGGTGCACGCACGGTTAGAGGGCGATCAGAGGAGATTAAATTCCTCAGCATCAGTTGCTGCGGTGCAATCCCTTTCCAAGAGTTCATGTGCAGGATTTTCTCTTCTCTCTGGTGGCTTCCTTGGGCATAATCTTCTTTCCCCCAAAATGCCTAAGTATCAAACTAAAATAAACCAGAGGGTGGGTTGAAAGGGGCTTCTAGGAACTGCACGGCTCACCAGAAACCCAAATAGATAATGATTTACCTAACACTGTCGAAAAAGTAGCTAGCTATGCCTAAAAATAACCAGCCAGTACCCACTGCTGCGTGCGATATATAAGGATGATGTTTAAATATTAAGAACGTCCTGCATTATGAAACACAAATGTCATTGAGATGTGACTACTACATTGCCAAAGGAGAACTTATTTGCATATACACATTCCCTTGCACTCGACGCAGGATGTGCACGGAGAATGCCACTGCCCCTGGAAGGCATTAGTTTTTATTCTGTGGGTGGAACAAGGTCTTCTAATTTTGCCAATTGTATCCCGTGGATCTCGCAGGGAAGCTAAAAATCTCTTCGGGGACAGAACCAGTTTGGAGGAGTCCCTACAGCACAACATACGGTAAACAAAATAAAAATAGCTTGCCGTTCTTGTTAGCCACATCGCGCATTATATAACCAGCTTCCGACTGGCTTTTTTTTTTTCCGCCCTTACTACTCTTCAGCAATTTTCCAATCTTCTCAAGTATTTATATTACCCTCTTATCTGTAGGATTATATACCAAGAAAGCAAAACAAAACAGAGCAGCCACGGGATCAAACTGAACTCTACCGTCTTAGAAACCGATTTTTTTTTTTTTTGGTTTTGTTTTGTTTTCTGGCGGAGTCTTGATCACCAACCTACTTCCACCCCCCACTAAGGTTCTCGCTCAATCTCCCTAGAAAACCTGAATTGTTTCATCGCTTCCAGTCAGCCCCGTACGTGGTCTGAAATAAAATGAAAGTGCAAGCCACGGAGTTGAGGAAGGCAGCTAGAGAGCCGAGGGATCAGGAGAGGTCGCGGCACGGCTGAGTCCGCCGAGTGACTCCCGGGGTCCCCTCCCCACCGCCACGACCCTCGCCCCCCGCCGGGCGCGCGCGCGCGCACACACACTCACATCGCACACACTCACGCACCGGCACCCACGCCGCGCTCCCACACCGCCTCACCTCTCGCTCCGCCCGGCTGGCCCCGTCCCTGCCCCCTGCGGGACCGGCCTGCGCGCCGCGCTGGAACCACGTAGGAGGCGGCGGCGGCGGCGGGAGTGGCAGAGTCTCCGGCCCGGCCCAGAGTGAACGAGCAGTGGGGCTCCAGGGCGCATCCCAGTCCCCGCAGCGCCTCCTCCTCCGCCGCCGCCGCCGCCTCCTTCCCCTCCTCCTGGCTTCATTCACCCTCCCAGCCGCCGCGCAGCCGAGCACTCCCGGCGCAGGGCAGCAGCGCCTGCCGCGGCTTCTCCGCGCCTGCCGGGCCCGGGCCGGGGCGCTCGCGGGCTCCTGGGGCCCGAGGGGCGGCCGCTGCACAGGATCAGGAAGCGGCCACACCAACAGGGCGGCAGTGGCGACAGCAGCGAGGGCCGCCGCCGCGCACGCCCCTTCCCCCCGCTCGGCCACCGCCACCCGGGGCGCCCTCCGCCCAGCAGCACTCGGCCGCGCGCAAAGTCCCAGCCGGGCAGCCGGCGCAGCGCCCTCCTGGCCCGCAGCCGCGCGCTCGGGGAGGCCGACCTCCTATGCTTGAGACCCTGACCCCGGGCGCCGAGGCCAGGCGACTCCCCGCGGGGAAGCCCGGCCCTCCTTCCTCCCACAGCCCCAGCTGCTGAGAGCAGGCTCTGCAGGAGGCAGCGCGACCCCGGCCGCCGCCGCCGCCGCTGCCGCCGCCGCCTCCCGCTGCGCCACCGGGAGGGGAGGACACAGCTCTCCGCGCTCGCAGCCGCCGGAGCCGGGCGCTGCCACCGCTGTCCCCGCCCGCGCCCCCCGCCTGGGCGCGCCCCCTGCCCCGGCGGCCCCCCAACCTGGCAGCCCCCTGCCGGCCGCTCCTGCGCCCAGAGTGGGGTACCGGCTAGGAAGGCTGGAGCTGGGGAAGGTTGTATGTACACACACGCACACGCGCACACACACACACACACACACACACACACACACACGACGCGTAGGTTTCCTTCGCTCCTCTTCCAGCTGTTTTCCGCGCAGCCGATAGGGATTTGGGGTTTGTTTGTTGGGTGTTGCTTTTGCCCCTCTCGGGAGAACGGGGTGGGGGGTGATTTTTAATCTAAATAAGGGGGAGAAGGAGAGGGGGGAGGGGGAGAGAAAGAATCAGAGGAGGAAAAAAATAGCCACTTACTGTAAAGTGTAAATGGATCTGGGGTTGCGTGGGGAAGGGGGGATAGAGGGAGAGAAACAGTGTCTTGCGGCTGCTGTTGGTCTGGCTGCTGCTCCACAGGGCTTGTTTTTGGATCCCCCTGCAGTGAAACAGGTCCTGTACGGCTCCGCCACTGTAGTAGAAATGATGTCTGCGGTATACTCCGCTCTCTCCTCCCCCTCCTCCCGCTCCCCTCCCCGCCCTCCTCCCTCCGCCCGCCCGCCCGCCCTCCCTCGCGCTCTCTCGCGCTCGCTCGCTCGCTCGCTCCAGTATGTAAATGTGTAATAGAAGCCAAATATGGAGCAGTTGGCTGCCGCCGCCGCAGCTCAAGGATCCGACTTCGTGGGGGGGGGGGCACCCTCTGGCAGGCGGCCCGGCGAGCCGCACGGAGCTAGGCGAGCGCACGGCTGCCCGCGCCCTTAACCCTTGGGTGCGCGTGGCCGGGGTAGGGAGGCCGGCGCCGCGCCCCCAGAGAGGATCTGGGATACTGACCGAAGAGATGGGAGCACCACTGGGGGTGGGGGGACGATGACCCTGGAGAGAAGGGGGGCTGCTCCTTCCAGGTTTGAGAGGGGCGGGGAGTTGGAGCGATGAGGTAATTGGAGCGGTGACCGGTCGGTGCTTGCGCGTCTCTCCAGCTCTCTGCACCTAGTTGGAGCGAACGGACTGACAGCGGGGTGCAACTCAGGCAATCTGAGGGACTCCCCCACAGGGTATCAGGCTTCAGCTCCGAGCCGGTAAAATACCCATGGGGGCGGGGAAGCCGGCTAATTCTAATCCCAACTGGCCCTGAGCCCGGGGCGCTCGGAGAGGAGCCTACGCGAGCTCAGTCTGGTCAGCGGCTGCACGCTCACCCTCCACCCCGTGTCGTTTCGGCGTTCCGGAGCCCAGACCTGGGGCCGCGGGGGCTCCCTTGGCTTGCAACTCTGGAAAGTTTTAAGAGTCCCCGCGGTGGCACTTGCATCCTCACCTTTCCTACCTGTGAGAGCTGGCGATCACCCGCCCTCGTTTCTATTTCTGCACTTCCGGAAACCTGCTTTGGGAATTGAGCTACTCCGCTGTGGCCGTGATAGACGACCCGCGGGCTCCTCTCGCGGCTAATTCGGGATCATTAATTTAATCGGAAGTGAGGTAACCGGTGTAGGAGATAGAGAAAGTAAACGGAGCATTAAATAAGCAGTTCTTGCGAATCCACCCCAAGAACTTCGTCTGGTCTTAATAGCTAATTGCAGTGCTCAGCTCCCCCGCTCCGTCCCCTCCGCGTGTCCGCCGTGAGCTCGCTAGATCTTTGCAGAGGTGCACCTTGCCAACAGGTGTGGCACCCGGAGGAAGAGAGGGCGCATCCCTGGGGCCGCTCCTCGAGGCGCTGTCCTTGCCGCAGATAATTCTGGGAAGGCCAGTAGGTGTCAGGGCAGCATTTGACCTGCTTTAGGTGCGTGGAACTGGGTCTAGAAATCTGATCCCTCCGTTTCTCCCTGGAAGCCACCACTATTGACTGTAAGCTGTATTTGAGAGACCTTTTGGCTGAGTTTGCTTATGACCTAACAGTTAGTCACCAACTGAAGTAGGATACAGAATCACCCGGAGAAATATGTCAGCTTTTAAACAACTCTGGATTGTAGAGCCAACGCACTTCAAAAATAAGAATAAGCACACTCACGATGAAGGTAATACAGCCCCAGAAATTCCTTTTCTCACATTTTGAAATGCCACGCGCACAGGCATGGCTACTTAAATAGAACTACTATTGTTCACTCTTGTTTCTACAACTTTTTTTCTTTCTCTTTCCCCTTAAAAATCAGTGATCCTTAGGTTTCAACCTGAGGTTGTGCTAGTGACATTGTTGGTCTCATTACAGCCTCTAGTGGACAGTTTACACCAGTTTCCTGTAAAGGCTCTGCCGGGTGTTTATGTCGTCGACAAGATTTATCAAGGTGAAGTCTGATGATTCAGAACGCAACCAGGTAATCTCTCCCCCACCCCTCCCCACTTGGCAAAGCTGGCTTCTAAGAAGGGCTGAAGTTTGTTGGCTCTGGAGGAAAAACGGCAACGTCTGCTTTGTGCCGCAGGTATTATTACTGCTGGCCTGTGAATAAACACAGAGCTTCTGCTCTTCATTTCGGTTGCAGACAGCTTTCATAAAAAACTAAATTCATCTAAAATATTTTTATAACAGAAAATATTGGTTGCCATGTTTTTGGCTTAACGGAGATGTTTTTATTCCAACTCATAATCTGCAAACTGTCCAATCCACCTCCACTCTATTTTTAGACATCTTACATTTAGAGAACTTTCAGGAAAAAATGCTAATATTGCAATCATTACATTGGCACAAGCAGTTAATTTATGTTATTTTAACAACCTGAGACATATTAAAACACATAATTCAGACTAGAGTTAGTCAGTTAATTTAACTGAAGGCCCCTGAAGGAAGCTAAATATATATAGTACCCAAACATTAAAACAATTAATAAGAAATGTGTCATTTTACTTTCAAAGCCATTAAGACTAGAAACTGACATTAAACTCTATTTAACTATTTCTTCTTACATAGTTCAACAAAAGCATAATACTTACAAAAGAGTTTCATACCTTTAGGACTGAGATGCTTTGTTTTCAGATGACCAAATATTAAATGCACAATCATAAATCACAAGCCCTGATTCTTTGAAAACAAGAGTTTTTGCCAGACATGGTTTCACATGTCTGAAATCTCAGCCAATTAGAAGACTGAGGCAGGAGGATAGAGGTTAAGGTCAACCAGGGCAAATTAATCAGAGTATGTCTCGAAAATGAAGTAAAATAAAATACCTGGCATGTCTCGAAAATGAAGTAAAATAAAATACCTGGATGTCTAGCATGTGTGAGGCCCTAGTTCAATCCCAGAATGGAAGGGGATGGTTTCTCATGCAAACAACAACTCAAAGAAAAAAGAGCAAATCTTTTGAGAAGCCAGTATGAAAATATATAGTTACAAATTATAATACTCCTTCTCATTGGCCTGATCTTATATTTGTTCATGTCAGTCTTTAAAGCGAAAGGAAATTGAGGAACAGTTGACTCCTAATCTGTGTTATGGATAGTTTAAACAACATGGAAGTGATTTTAATTTTTTTATTTTGCTGATTTGGGCCTATATACTTTTGAAGGTTTAACATGGGCAGCAAGTATATATTAGATCATATCATAATATATCACACCCCAACTTCTTTAAATTTAGTCCCTAAAATAGCCAAAGCAGAAGCAACAGATGGAGTTTTTTTAGACTTTCAGAATCCAACTTTCCATGCTAGATTTATGGACTAACAGTCTCCCTTTGAACCAGCCTCTTGGACAATCCTAGACACATTACAGCATAAAGAATGCTGGTCTAAGAGTTTAATTCTCCTATTTATTCCTTTTTTATTCTAAGTTTTCCAGTGAAAAATTATCATATTATACTTGGATGTCTGCATTTTGAACTTATCCAACTGCAGATCAAAAATATTTGAAAAATTTGTACTGAGCACATACAGAAGTTTTGTTTGTCATTGGGACTCAATGGTACAGTTTGGCAATTATTTACATACTATTTGTATAATATTAGGTATTTGAAGTCACCTAGAGAGGATTTAAAGTACATAGGAGGAGATGCAGAGATTATATACAAATACTACTGGCATTTTAGGTGAAGTACTTGAGTATCCCAGAATTTTGATATTCAAAAGAAATCCCGGAGCCAGTTGTCCTATCCAAGAGACAACTATATATGATTTGGAGAAATAGTACTGCGTTTCAGGAGAGCCCTGATTTGTACACGGATCTGCATCATCCCTACCAAAAAATAAACTGTGAGGAATGCACTGGGGTCTTGAATGTGAATGTTTTCTTCATGGCAGCAGAGGGAGCACAAGAGTGTTTAATAAGATGCAGTGTACAGGGCCCTCCATATCGTGGCAGATTTTCAATTGTAGTATGTATTCTGATTGAACGTGGATTGTTACAGAGCTTCTCCAGAGTAAAATAAAATAAAACCAACAAGCAAACACAGTCTGCCAGATTATAACACCAAGTATTTAAAGCGATTGTAAGTTAAATAAGATATAGCATACTTACTTCGAGTTTTAGACTTGAATTCTTGAATGAAAGTGGACCTCCAAAGTCATGCTTGTGAAAGATGTCTTAAGCCAGCTTTCTGTAGTCAAAAATAAAGACAACACTATGCAGAATAAGGCAACCCTGAGAGTACTTCCTGTTTATCTAAAAATGGAGTCAGTCCACGCAATTTCTCTAATGCATTGCATTAGAGAAACAAATTTCATGTTGGTTAAAATCCGTGCACTTTTTACCGAACAGTACTTGCTTTCATAATCAATTTAGACATTTGTTCTCAATGCTTGCCATGGTGAGGATTTACCTTTCCATTACACTTATTTAGCATTTCACACTTTTCACAGATCTTGAATGCTTAGAAACTCCCTTGAGGTATGTAAGACACACAGTAACAGCTAAGTCTCCTAAAGGTTATAAACCAGGCTCAGGGTTTCATAGCACTGAGTCATTTAATTGTTCCAATAACCCTTTGAGGTGTGTGTAAATAAAGGAAATTGTAGAAGTTAAAGATTCAGTGGCCCGATTTTGTTTTAGCTTTAAAACTTTTGTCACCATATTGAATATTTAATAAGTGAGTATATAATCCATTAAAAACAGAGACTGTGCTTTAATTTTTATGCTGTTTCTTATGTATTTGCCATTCATCTATCAGCAACTTACTGTGCATCTACAATTAAGTAGGCCCCAAGTGTGTAAAATCCTACAAGGAGTTCAGAGCACAATAAATAGAAACTTTTGAAAAGTGTTCATTGTTTAACTGTGAAGAAATGCAAGGATTCACAATTGATTGATCTAGAACCTCTCAGAATTTTTATCATTCAGAGTTCCAAACAGGAGAGTCCAATAAGGTAGTCACTGAAAATCTGGGAGTTAGAAGGGCCATTGTATAACTGTAAGTTTTGTCTTGCAAGCTAATATCAGCATTTCAAATTACAAAATAAACAAAATGTGACGATATAACATGTACTTACCTACCTGTCTCCCCCATCAAAAAATCACCATGAGTAAATTAAAGTGGTAAACATTTATTTATTTTTATCTCTTTTAAGTTGTTAAAAAGTTTCCTCCCACGGGGAGGAAACATTTGCCAAGTTCTGCCTGGAGCAATTTGTTATGGCTGTGTAATAAATCTCGGAAAGTTTGAATTCTTAATGGAAATACTGACAGAAGTTTAACTATGCTATTATAAGGAGGGCGTAGGCCTATATATGTCATTTAAAAGTCAGAGCAAATCATACTGTGCTTCTAAAGAAGACGCACTCCTTAGATTGCACTCCAAATAAACCTGGGGAGACCATAAAAGTCAAACTAACTAAAAACAAAAGTAAAAATGGCTCACAATGGACTCTGAGGTCAGCTCACCACACCCAAGTGAAAATCTCTAGGCTGTTTGCAAGGCCTGGAGACTTTCAGGACAGATGACTGAATGATCTTTTTTGACCCTCCACCAAACTGTAGCAGCAAGATGGGCTTCCTGATCTTGAAAATGACATCACTGATAGTGCAATGAAAATCATTGTATTTAGAAGCTGCTAACAATTTATGATTTAGCAGTACACATCCATCTTTCTGTCTGCCTTTCTGTTTTTCCTTTCTTTTTTCCCTTTCTTCCTTTCCTTCTCCTCCTTCTCCTCCTTGATTTGCTGCTGTTGTGGTGATTTTCCTGTTTTTTGATTTTTCCTATACTGCAGATTGTACTCTATACTCAGGGCTCTTAGGCTGACCAACATCCCCAACACTTTTTATTTTCATTCTTTTTTTTTTTAATTTTTTGAGAAAAGGTCTTGCTGTTTTGCCCAGGCTGGGTTTGAACATGTGCTTCTTTTGCTTCAGCCTCCCAGAGTAGACTTGGTCAAGTAACACTCTGTCTGGAATATAAAACAAAAACAAGTACCAGTATGACCTTTGAACATTTGAAATATGGTTTCTCCAATTTAAGATGTACTGCAATATACCTCACATTTTAAAACATTAAATACTGTAAGGGCTTATAGCTAGATGTCTCCCAAAGCCTCAGGGGCTCACAGGTAGGGCTGTTGAGAGGCAACTGGATCATGGGTTGGGTTCCTGGGTTAGTTCACTGAGTGATCTAGCCTAGTTCTGGGTGTGGGTGATGGACTTACTGGAGAGGGAAGAGCAACCCACCCTGGATATGGGTGGCTCTCACTAATGGGCTTTTATCCTGCATAGAATAAAAAGGGAAAGACAAAGGAAAGCTGGCTGCCTCCTGCCTTTGATGCCATGAATGGTTTCTCCTTTGCCGTGCCCCTCTGAGGGGCCATCAGTTGATCATGAACTGTGAGCTAAAATAAACCGTTCCTTGTGGGTGTTGAGTATTTGTCACAGCAATGAGAAAATAACGAAGATAATATATATTGCATGTTGAAATGAAAGTATTCCACATTTATTGGATGAATATAATATGTTCTTAAAATTCATTTTATGTCTTTGTACTTTCTTAATATGGCTATGAGAAAACTTAATATGAAACATGGAATGGTTGTACATTTTTCTTTTTCTTTGTTTTCTTTTTATGTCAGTACTAGAAACCAAATCCAGGGACTCATGCATACTGGGCAAATGCTCAACAAAACCAGCCCTTTATATATTTCTAGTGGGCAGCTCTGTTATAAGTAATGGGGCTGGAGACATATAGCAGTTAGTTACAAAGGCCCATGACTGGAGACTTTATAATCCTCACAGAGCTCTCTGTCACAGTGCAATAGATAGCAGTGGCATTTTTCTACCTCCCTCTGGTTGTGCCATATAGCATGGGCCTTATCTCCTCTTTTAACTATCACTGATGGTCAGTGGTGTGTGAGTACATAATCTCATTGGTAGATCTAGTGTAGGCCTGTAAGATAAAAATTTGTCAGGCTTATCTGTGACTCAGTCTCCATGGGAGGCTGATGGAAAAACCTGTGCTGTATTTTAGAAAGCACAAGCATTTTCATTTTACAGTTGGCTTTGCTGCTGATAACTAAATGGTTTGAGGTTGGTACCTTCAAGTGACAGATGGCCTTGAACATTGATAATGAAAATTATTTAATTTGGTGCATGACTAAAAAAAGCATCAAGGCCATTAAAAGGAAACCTGGGCTTTTAAAAGAACTGTAGTTAGTATATTTAGTACAATGGGATGCATTGAAAGGAAATGAGATGATTTTTAACTATTACTCTTTATTTTGTAAGCAAGATCTAGATAAATTTTCATCAATGCACATCTGACTAAGATTGAATATAAGGCAGTGGCCTGTAAAATATCATAACTTATGGCCTTAATCATCTAAAGAAAATAGCTCTTCTTGCATAAAATAGCTCTTCTTTTTGCATGAAAAGAAAACACACCACATTTTAAAGCTTAGAATGAGTGAGTTGAGCTTTGTTTGGTATTGGCCAGCAGCATTTGGAAATCTATTTAAAGTGTTTCATTAACAAGTTGGCATTTGTTTCCTCAAAAGAAGTGCATTTTCTAAATTAAAATCAAAGCCGAAAGTCACCACCATCTGAACTTAAGGTGAGGAGTTGTTTAAAGTAAGCCCTGGATGCTTCCAAAAGGGGACTGAGGCAACCACATGCTACAGAAAAAAAGTCACATTTTTATCGAAGAAATGAAACAGTTTTTTGTAGCTGTAACTTCATGAAAAAATACACGGCTATAAGCTCTCACGGCTACTTTACTCTTCTTGAGTAAATATGGAACAGGAGACGCTGATCTGAGCAGGGGTCAGAGTTTAAGAACATCATTTTATGAGGAATTTACAAAGTTTGCCCTGAAGAGGAAGAGTTAGAGAAAAATGCACTGGCAAACTTTGCTTTCTGACATAAATAACTAGAGTTTACCAAGGAAACTGCCCATGTCAGGATTTCGGGGCGGATGGCCAAGCAGTTTGATATTTGCAGAACTGCTTCCCAGCGGCCTCTACAAAGTTGAATTGCAAGGATACTGGGAAAGCTCTCTGCCTGAAAACTGAAAATCCTGGTTTTGCTTTGGGTCTGTAGCACAAACACAAAAAAGAGCCACCGCCACCGATGCCTCCTGCCAGAGCAGCGTAACAGCACTCTGACTTAAACTGTAAATTACAAACAACCTCTGTTTAAGTACAAAATGAGTGTACAGAATGGAAGACCCTGTCAGCCAGAACACCAGTGAATCAAGCCGAAAAAGACGAATTATTCACTCATGCCACTCTAGCCAACTTTTTATTCTGCTAACTGTACTCTCAAGGAAGGGCTTTTCTTCTTTTAGATATCAAGAGGAGCTAATACATTGTAGTTGTAATAAATGTGGGAGGTATTGGATGCGTCTATGCTGAGAAGCAGTGGAATCACAGGATCTGGTTCCCATCCCCACCCCCACCCCAGCTGAAGCTTAAATACCAAGAGTAAGAATGTGTGACCCCATCACTCCCAGGGTGAGCTTTTCCTGCAGTCAATTTCATAATTGTGTGACTCCGCCCCCCTGCTCCACACTTCCGCTCCCCTCACTACCCACCCCTCCCCATCCCAGCAATGAATCATCATGCCTTTAAAGAGACGGAGATGACCCAGTGTGAACTTTGCTGGCATCCTGTACATTCTTCTGCCAAAAAAGGGGAGTTGCTTTGTGACAGAAACCTGGCCAGACCCTGGTGTAGGCTGAGGCAACAAACTTGGGTGCTTTTCTGGAAAGATCAGTGAGGAGTTAATTTTCCTAGATCGTAGTGATGATTCAGAATTGCATATCTCAGTTCATGATCAGGTTTTTAAGAACCCAGTTCGGCCCTTTGTGCAGAAAAGAATATATCAGAGGAAAATTGTTGGCAGATCGCATGCAATCAGGGCAGAGGAATTTATACCACATCCAGCCCTTTGATTTCTCCAGATCTGGCTGAGGGTGGGGTTTCCATATTTGTGCTTTGGCAAATGTGTCCAATAATTAACTCCTCCTGATACACGCTCCTAGTTTTATCGTGTCCTTATTTGTGCATTTATTAAAACCAGAAACATTTTGCCCCTTCATTTTTAAATACAACATCTAGGCAATGTGGGCTCTGCCTCTAAAGACCTGACATCTTCCTTAAAAGGTCCAAGATGTCCAGTAATAGAAACTTGTATCTTTGCATATGCTTCCTCTGTAGATGGAAAGCTCTATCTTTCTTCTCTCCCAGGCCCCTTCTTCACAAGGAGATTTCATCCTCCTGCTTTGAGATCAGCTCAAGCATCAACACTTCTGTGAAGTCTTTCTTGATGATCACAAGAGTCTGCGGCTCTGCCCAATGTGTGAGTCAGAGAAGTGCTATTTTCTTATTCTTTTTATTTATACAATATTTTTTTTAAACTTCTAGCAGGAAAAAACTCAGGGCCATAAGCACAGATGGAGACAGTATCCTAAGTGAGAGTCTCTCTTATCTGAATACTTCCTGTTACTCCCAAACCCATCTGACCTTGGCGTACAGTTTCAGCATGCAAGATTTTTCCTTTGTTGCTCCAGCGATGTAATTTTCCTCCGATCAGCTCTCCTCTCCTACACCATTCTGTTGTGAGTGGAACTGAGTTCCCCAAAAGGTATCCTGAGGCTCTAACTCCAGTGTTTGTGAGAGTGACCTCATCTGAGAATAGGATTTTTCAATGTAATTAGTTAAGATAAAGTCTTCGTGGATTAGGGTGAACGCTGAATGCAATATGACTATTGTTCTCATGAGAAAGCACCAAGACACAGAGGAGGCACCACACAGACGGCCACGTGAAGGTGGAGATTGGAGTCAGTGCTGCCCTCAGCCGAGAATGCCAGTTACTACCAGTAAGGGCCAGAAGCAGGAAGAAGCAAAGGAGATTTCTTCCTCTGAGTCCTCAGAGAGAGAGAGAGAGCTGTATCCCAAGAACACCTTGATTTCAGACTCTGAACCCTTGGAACTGGGAGAGAATGCATTTTCCCTGTTTTAAACAGCACCATGTGTGATGTTTTGTTATCACAGCCCTAGCAAATGATCTGCCCTCCTTATGAGAGCTGTGCTTACGGATCTGTGGCATTGTTCTCTGTACTGTTCGTTTCCATGTGCAGCCCTATCTCTTTCCTCTTTCAATACTCATAGGTAATCCATTCCGAGTGTGTATTTGGCCTTGCACCCATGATAATATGAATAAACAAAAGGCCCAACGGAATAGGTGACTTATCTGCAGACTTCTAGAATCACCTCCCTATCATTCCAGAAATGGTGTTTGGCTCTGGCCTCAGACACAGAGGCTGCTGAGAGAGGTCTGGGGGAGCCCAAGTGTGTGGAGCTCTGGGCCCCAGGCCAGGCCTCAACAGGGTTCTCCTGTAGCTCTCCTCTGCTCCCTCTGCTGGGCTCCAAGGTGCACAACAACTGTCCTCTGCCGAAATGGTATTGCACCACGTGTGAAATCAACAAACGACTGAAAAAAAAATTAATTCTTTGGCATCGAAGAAATAAAACCAAAAAAAAAGAAAAAAAAAAAACCTAGCTGCTTTTATTTTTTTAGCTTTTCATGTGAGCAAATCTCCTCATGTAATCAGGGTAAGGGAGTTTGTACCACATCCAGCCCTTTGATTTCTCCAGATCTGGCCAAGGATAGAGTTTCCATATTTGTGCTTATGAAACCTCAGTCTTTCTGATTCTCATTTTTCAAAGAACAGCTGTCAAATCACTTGTTTCAGGAGGTTTTTTCCCCAGCAGGCAGATGGCAGCCTGACACTCAAGTCCAGACGCCAGAGTAAGTCTTCCACTGGGGTGCCGTGTGCTGTTTAGCATAGCTTTTGGATACCCATTGCTGTAAACAACTCAGTTCTTCCAATTGTTCAGGCCAAAAAAGCTTACCTTGACTCTTTTCTTTTGTTCATAACTCACATCCAGTCTTCCCAACAAATCCAGTTGGCTTGATCTTCAAAATTTACCGAGACTGTGGGCATTTCTTGCCACGGTTAGAGCTAAGCTTCATCAGTATAACTGTCGTAGCCTTTTAAATTGTCCCACTGCTGTAACCATCCTCCATCCACAGACCATTGCACACAAACACATTGGGTGCTTTTAGAATTCTGCTCATGACCTTCTCACAACTCCCGCTTTCCACCTGGAGTCAAGGCCAAGTTCTTCCATGGTCCAAGGCTCTACACCATCAGGATGTCCGCAGCCTTTCCATCTCATCTATTCATTCTAGCACTGTCCTTGCTCCCATCCCACTATTTCTTCTTTTTTATCTAAGCAATCTGCCAGTGAGGCTTGCTGGGGTGACCTTAGTTAAAGTGGGATCTGCCTACTTTGCTGATCTACCTCATTCTGTTCAGTTGTACCACAAACACAATATAGTGCAATATTTTATGTCAATTACATGTTTTGTTGTTATTTATGGCCAGGAGGGAAGGGATTTTTGCTATTCATTTTTGCTTTTAGTGAGTGTACCTGAGAGACACTCACTAAATATGCATTGACGGTTAGATGAATGAATGAATGAATCAGTAGTATTTCCCAGGACCTACTATGCACAGGGCATTATCAGCCTCAATCCAATGGTTGTCTCAATACAAGCTAATCCAAAACAAATCAACTTGTCCACAGTGTGATACATATCCTATTTACTTGTTGTTTGGTTTAATTGTATGACGTATGACTATTAAAGCTGAGTTAGAATAAGCTGAGTTTCACATTTGGGCTCAAGTGCATAAACATCCTTTAAAAAACAAAATTTCAAACCAGAATCCAAGAGACGTACAAACCTGGTAACAGGTTTCAGGAATAGCAAGTAGCACATCTTTAGGTTCTAATCATTACAATTTTTAACGGCTACTATTTAGCAAGCTTTTATGTTGTGCTAGGCACCATGGTAAGAGCTTTGGTGATGCTATTTGATTGAATCCCCACAACAATAGAGGAATGTAGAGATTATGATGTTCATTATCTCCAGAGACTCAACTGAGGCTTGATATTTAAAAGACCTGCTCAAGGATCAAGATCACCTAGCAATGCATTTAAGGTAAAGTTATTCACTTTTGTAGCCTTTAAGTTTTTAACAAGTCATTATCTGAGTGAAACAGGACAGTGCACCAGGTGGGGTGGTGAACACCTGTAATACCAGCTGTGTGGGAGGTCAAGGGAGGTCAATTGTAAGTTTCATCCCAGGTTGGTCAGTTTAGGACTTAGAGGACCCTTTTGTTACCAAACAAAACAAATAAAATAAAATAAAAAAGAGATCAGGTGATATAGCTCACTATGAAGGCTAGACTCAAGCTCCAGTACTTCAGTGGAAGGAAGGAAAGAACTTAGGAAAAAAGAGAAGGGAAGGGAAGAAAAAAGGAAGCAAAAGGAGGAGGGAGGAAAGGAAGGAAAGAAAGAGGAAGGAAGGAAAAAAGAAGGAAAGGTCATGAGAATCAGTGCCGCACTACAGTATTTTGGCCAAGGCAATCATGCCTAACGTCAGTCTTTATATTTTAGGCTTTATTTTTTTTGGTACATAACACACACAGCCTGGAAATTAAATCCCGGGGGCTCTTACTGAGGAATAATCTTGCCTCCACATCAGTCTAAGTGTTTTTCTCCATTAACAAAACTGTGTTCCAGGTCATGCTTTTTATGCAACTACTACATGGGTGGAAATGACTCATTTGAAGTTCAGGCTTCCATGGCTGAGACTCTTTCCTAGCAGAAATTTTGCCTCTCATCTGGAGCATCCCACCACGCTAAGGACTAAGGAGATTGTAAATGGCCACTGTGAATTCCCAAGCCGATGTAGGGAATGAATTCCGTGGTCTTAGCCTTTGTCCCAATTCTTTCTTCTGCCTTCTGTTCCGCCCCTGCACTTCCCAGAGGCTTCTGGGACCAGAATCCAAGAGAAGGGTTTGAAAGTCACCTGGCCACATGAAAAGCGGAAGACTGCAAGGTTTTTCACATGTCCCTTCCACTTTATATTTAAAGGGAAATGATCCTAGAAGCTAAAATAGTTCCAGAGTTCAGCACTCTGTGAAATTTGAAGGGAAAAAGAAAACAAGCCCTACATTTTTCAGAGATGTGAAGAGAGACCAGCTCTCTGAAGTTGGAAGGAAGTGAGAAGACCCTATTTGTGGCTGCAGGAAAGGAAAAGAAAAGATCCCTGCAAGGAAACTACCAACAGATGGTAAATACATTTTTAATTCTTCTGTCATACTGTGTGGACTTGGGCACATTTGTCCTGCTGTGTTAGGCTCCCGAAATAGCTAGTCATGGCACCGCAGAACAGTGCTGCTGCACTGAGATGTAGGGAACCATGCTCGCTGGCGAACAGGGAGGGTTCATAGTAAGATGGAGTGGATTTGCTCCCAGTCTGCGGCTCCTCCGTGTGGCATCTGCTGTCACTCTTGGTGCGGAAAAATTCTCTGAGATGTCAGATCTCACTGTGGGTGTTTTGAAATATACTATTTCAAATTGTCTCCCAAGCTCTGGTTACAAGGATTAAATATTGACACTATCTATAGGATAACTCTGATCATTGAAGGAAGTGAAGTCCACTTATTCATAGATCGAAGACTTCCAGGGAGGGTCACAAATACCTCGTAGCAAATCAGACTCCCTTATCTTGCCTTTCTGACGTTCTTAGCTTTGTCACAAGGTTCCATACAAAACCATAAGAATTGCAGTGCCAGCAAAAGGAAGAAAAATGGACCTCGATGGTGCTCTGCCCACCAGAGATGACACTGGGCCTTGAGTCCTGGAATAAGCAAGACACTCAATTCAATCACCATCTCTCAGTGCATCAGCAAAAAACCATGCTGGTTACTCTAACTGGACACAGAGAGGTGAGGGAGGCCTGTTTCTTAATCATCACCTACGAAATACAACTTAGACCACACTACATTGTTAGAACCAGGAGCATCCTTGAAAAATCTAGCTCATTTTTTTCATTTTACAGACAAGACTCAGAGCTAAAGAGTTGCGGGAAATTGGCATAGATCACATAATTAGTGGCAAATTTATACTGGAACCTGAGACTCCTCTTCATTTCCCTTTTCCTCTCCCTCTCTCTCCTCCAGCTCTTAGAGAAAGAAGAGACTCCTGCAATGCACAAATCCAATCCACAAGACCTTTGTTATGGAAACTCGGCTTCTTATCAGATTTTGGAGTCTTGGGTCTGTGGGTGTTTGGGAAACTAGTTGATATTCTTTATAGGTAAAGTTCGAAGCTAAAATGTATTTGTCAATTTCTGTCCTAACCCACTGTGGATTGTGTCTGGATTATATAGCTACTGCACTATTTGACACAGCTGGGATCCCCTTTCCATAAAATAGCAGGGATGACTGCTAGATAAGAATTAAAAGGCACTGGTAGAAAAGAACCAGGAACTTGACACAATTACTTCCTACCCAGATCGTACCAGTCCAAGAACTTCTCCTGCCCCTTTTGGAATCAGGAGTAGTGGGAGGAAAGGGGATTTTTATCGTATTAGTAAAAGAAAGTGTAACAAAAATGCTTTATCCTTGCTCTGTTTGATGAGATCTTAACTTTCATAGTTGATGCTTCTACAAGATTAAATATATTCCAGTTCAAATTGACTTATGCCCTCATAGATCATTTTTGCAATAGATACCTACATAGTTCTTAATAAAAACTGTTCTGAATCAGCTGTCTTAAAAAATGTTCTTCTTTCTTCTTTTCTAATAGTTAATCAGTAAGCTCCTCAAAAGCTCTCCCCCCAATTTTGCTATTCCATTCAGCATTCTGATTTGTTGTTTTGGGGTACCATGTTAGTCATATTTTTCTCCTTTTGTGTGTGTGTTAGTGGAAATACTTTTTTTTTAAACCTGTTGTATTTATGTATGGCATCCTTTGTTTTGAGAACCAATTTGATTATTCTGAATGCTCATGATAAAATTTCTGGTTACTGCCATGGTCTAGTTACAGATTTGGAGGTTAAGGAGAAAGAGAATGATCTTAAGTGAGTTATTTTTATAGAGTAGTAATGAAGGCATACTTCAGGTTATTTCATTCCTGTGATCCAAATTTGATTATCTGGCTAATATCACCAGGGACAATTGAAATTTTAATAATTACAGCTCAAGGCCTTGAAAAAAATAAAAAGAAAGAAAAAAATGCATTTGCTATGAATTCACATACAACCTTTCTGAGAGTTGCAATCTGAGAGCTTGTTTGGCTGCTTTAAAAATATAGATTGATATCAAGACTCCATTTTAAGAGTTCAAGTTTAGTTGACACTCTGAAAGGAGAGCACAAGCTAGACATGAAAACTGTTTTATGAGGAAGTGTTGAATACTGGTTATTTGAAAGAACAAAAAGCTTATGCTGTTGATTTCACCTTTCTTTTTGAAGGACAGCTTTGGGATTGTTTTCCTACAACATGTTGAGGCCATGATTTTTGCTCACATGTTCTGTTCCCTCATGCGATAACACACCTTTGAAACTATTCCTGCTTGAAGGCCAAGTGTGGTTCCTGTAGCCACACACTAGTTGTATCCTTGCACTCCTATGATTCTCCCAGTGAAATCTTCACATAAAAGCATGCTGTCTGGGATATGATGCTGTTCAGCATTTTAAATAAATAAGAAAGGAAAGTACTTATTGTTACCAAGAAACAGCTCTAAGTGGAGCCCTTGATTACCAAGGTCAGAGGAGGGTTGGGGATTGTCATGGTTTATATCAGTGGCCTCCGAGTCTCAAGCAATTATGGGCTTCACCAAATCTAGGGTTTGTGACTGGTTCGTTGTCTAGCACTTGGATTGGTGGTGAGAGTGCTACACCCGCCTAGGGGTGGAGCCAGCATAGGATGTACCTGCAGGAAGAAGGTGTGTCTCTCTCTTGAGGGTTTTGCCTTGCTGTTTGCAGCTGGCCATGGATGGCGGCTGCCATTACCCGCCACATCCAGCTGACTGAGTATGGACTGAAACCTCCAACATGTAAGAAATAAACCTTCCCTTCCTACAGTTTGAGTGTCAGATATTTTGTCCCAACAACAATAGAAAAGTAACCAAGACAGGAATATGATACATATTCTCACCTCTTTACTGCCTCTCCAGCTCCAACTCACAGCATCCACATAGTAGAAGCAACTCAGATACAAATGGCCACATAGTGTTTTACTCCATGTGTGACCTTGGTTGGTCAATACATTCCATGAGCCTAAGAAGTTAGGAGCAGGTCAGTTTCCTGAAGTCAGTATTTCCTTCTCCTCGCAAGAAAAGAAACAAAAGAACAAGTTACTCTATATCCATAGAGTGAATCTCATAGTGTTGGAAAATAGAGAAGAAGCTAGACACAAAATAATGCTAGCTGGATTGTTCTACTTTCAAGGAGTTCAAAAACATACACATCACAGATCAGGATAGAAGTTTTCTTTTGATGAAGATAAGATTATGATTAGAAGGCTTTCAAGGTGCTACAGAGTTCTATCTTAGCTGAGGTTGTGGTCACAGAAATGTGTTCACTGAGGTAGCACAGTAGGCATGAAAATGTGATCTGTATGCTTTATTAAGAATGATTTTTTTCCATTTAAAATTCCAAAAAGAATATTCTAATGGGCAAGATAATTTTTAAAGTTATCAGAATAGGGTTTTGCTTCATGTAAATCAATAGATATTTATTATAGAGAAATACATAAAATCCAGATAAGCTCAAAAAAATATGAAACTAAAACCTCATCATAGAAGACAGGAAACTCTCACACAGCACTGCAGGGAATGGGCATTGCTCTTGGCTCTTTGGCATTACTTGCTGAAGTTAGAGACCCAGATTTCCACACCTGGGTTTATATACCCAACAGAAATATGCTCATGTGAGCATCGGAAGAAGAATAACTGTATTTGCAAACAATCCAAGATACCATCAATAGTAGAGTACGTGTAAAGTGTCATAAACACCACCTTGGAATACTAGGTAGCATTAAAATAATAGGACAATAATAGCCCCGGCACCATGAATAAAACTAAGAAGCACCAGGATGATCAGGAAATCTTATGCTCCCATATAAAGTTTAAAAAGCAGGAAAAAAAATAGTATTTAGCAATAGACACTTGGGTGGTAAAACTATAATGAAAAACACAAAACAAAACATATCATGAAAGTCAGGACAGTGGCGAATCCCTGAGGGGAGGATGGTCCATGACAGGGAAGGAGTGGATGCAGGGCTTCCAGGCTGTGGCTTCTTTTTTTCTTGCAGTTATGTGAAGGTTCACTTTATAAAAATGTATTCAATTGTACTTTCTATATCATAGATCTTGTCAAATGTATATTTCACAGCAAAAAAGTATAAAAATCATATTAAACTCAATTACCCAGTGGTATTATCATTTTAACAAATTCAGAGGTTACGTTCAATGTTGACTTTATGGGAAAATTTGATTCTGTTCTTGTCCTGCTCCAATTGCGATGAGAATCATAATGAAAATTAAGTTTGTGAATCGAGATATACTCCACACTTCCTTTAATGAAAAAAAATATATATGGAGTCTACATTGCTTGATAACTTTTTATTTATGATATATCTTCCCAGAAGAACTCCTCTTTGGATTTTCTTCATTTCCATTTAATTTTAACTAAGAGTAAATATCATACTAGGTTTATGCTTCTCTGGAAGCCTAAAGCCATGGAGTTGCTTTCAGGAAATGAGGTTGCTTTAGGGTAAGCTACACTGATTCATAGACCAATCTTCAGGATTTTGCCGTAACTCATGGGGGACTTTTCCTTTTCTGTTAATAATGCTGCTGCTTTGAAAGCAAAGGCTTCCTTCCACCTCTTTCGAGTGCTACATTTTCACAGAGGCAGTGATGGGGAAAGTCCAGTGGGGCAGGAGCCAGGTGCTCGAGGGACAGGAGGAGATCAGCTTAATGCTGCTTAGGAGACATGCCTTGCTGAGCTCCTGCGGAACCTGTCTGAGCCAGCATCATGAAGTCTGTTTTCAAACTGATCTAGGGATTTTTTAAAACCCCAAAGTACTGTAGCTGTATTGCTTTTTTTTGCCCTGTGGGGTGCCCTTTACCTGAAACATCCTTTCCAAGCCTGAGTAGGGACCCCACCAGGGTGCTATGGCACCACAGCATGGCATCGGTCTGCCTGTTCTGAAATTGCCTTTCTTCTATTCCATATATATATGAGGTGTGGTTGATACCCACGGTGGAAGTTTACAGCATTGTTGTATGATAAACACGTGGTGAATGCTGCTGCCAAGTGCCATTCAGTGGAAAGGCAGCTTGTAAGAACATTGTCTTGTCATGTGTCCTCGTTCGTCTTATTTACCAAATCTGTCACCATGCACCTTCTGGCTCATCCCCCAAAGCCAAAATGGCCATGAAATGCAAATGTTTTGAATCAGTTCAATATTGAGACAGCCATAAGAGTGCAACTAAAGACTCTCACAAAAGAGGATTTGCAGAACTGCTGCCAAAAGTAGCAAGAAAAATGGGATAAGTTTATTTGAAGCACGTGGGAGTATTTTGAGGGGAATTGATGACAATGTGTCTTTTACTGCAATATATTTCATTTTAAGTTAAACACTCACCATAGTTTTTCAACCACACCCTTTACCCTATAATCTATAAGCTCCAGGCCCGCAGGATTGTATCTGTTTCCCAGTTATCATTCTAGGCCAGTGACGGCATGTTATTGTGTTTTTCTTTTAAGACTAAAGATGTTAATGTGTGAGTTGTTTTTTCTAAATTAAAACGTCAGTATTCAAGTCTAATTGCAGTGTGGGCACTTTGCAATAAATAAGCAGGTTTCATGTTGCAGTTTGGCAACTTGGTGACTCTAAAAGGTTTGCCATCACTGTTCTCAGCCCTAGAACATGGAGGTGCTCAGTACATATATTCTTGTGTAAAGTGAGGCTTGGTGAGAGATTAAACGGTTTTGTCAGCCCCTTTCAGCTGGAGAGCACAAACAGCTTCAGGTAGTTCTACCCTGCCGACGTGGGTTGGCGTAAAACTCTGAAATACACAACTGCTCCCTTTCACAACCTGGCTAATAATAGTAGTTTGTGTTCATATAGCATTTGATATTTCATGAATCAATCTCACTTGTCATCTTATATAAGCCCAACATGTCACCTGTGGGAAACCAGAGGAGTGAGCATCACCATGCTGTGGTTTGAATGTGTCTTCCAACCTTCATGTGCTGGAATGTAGTCCTTAAATTCCTATCTGGATGGCGTCTGGAGGCAGAGCTGTGGCAGCATTCAGGGATAGATGAGGTCATTATAGTAGGGTCTCCAGCATTGGAGTGACAGCTTTATGAGAAGAAGAAGAGAAACCTGGGAAGTCACACACCCACTGTATTATCACATGATGCCCTCCACCATGTTGTAACACAGCTCTCACTGATGTAGATCCCTTGCCCTGGGACTTTCCAGCCTCCAAAACTGTAAGAAACGCACTTCTTTAAAATTAGCTGCCCAGTTTCAAGTATTCTGTTTTAGAAACACAAAATGGTCTAAGACATAGTATTTTATAGATGGGAAAACTGTGTGAGAAACATTAAGCAATTAGCCTCACATAGTTTATAGTGTAAGCCAGGGATGAATGACCCATTGAGTACTGGAAGGGAAAATATATAGAGCATATAGTACATGCTTATTTTTATTTGTGTTAGCTGGGACACCTAAGACACCATTCCAACT